AGGGGGGGGCTCGACAAAATTCGAAAAAGATCCAAGAGGAATTTCAAAAAAAGAACGAAGCAATTTTCCGCGCGATGTCCGCGCCCAAAAAGATCAAAATCGAACCGAAAGAAACGACGTCGACATTTATTAATCGCACGCGCGTGTGGCGTCGCGCCAAACAACCATCCGACCAATCAATCCACCAGCCGTCCCAAGACACACCCATCCCCGAAGAAGCGACGAAAAAGACGAAGAAGCAAGGGTACTGATGCAATTTTCCACCAATGCCGATCTCCCGTAATTGGCCCAATCTTCCCAGCTTAGGACCCCTCATTGCAACCGCGCAAAAACTCGCGCGTTACAGAAGGTGGTTCGTCACATATGTGATGCCCAGGGGGTTCCATATTAGCAAGCTCCTGCTTGCTTGTTGACACGTGTCGATTTCTCTAATCGATCGACACGCGGAGCACTTCACTTTATGCCACTTACCGTTCGATTGCGTGCGGACGTCATCCAACGTGGCAGTTCTGCTCTTCTACTAGTTCCTCAGATTGGGCTCTTTGACGATCCAAGGACGGGGTCTTTCTCGTGCCGTCGCCGCGACACGTATCCCTTACCGGTTGCATCAGTAATTGACTGGAAGGGGAAAAGGTAGCCGGTGCATGGTGGCATGGCGGGGTGGAGGGCTTAGGGGTAGCGGGGGCAAGAACCTTTCCATCCCGGCTGCAAATTTTGGAAGCGCTTGGTAGCGGATGATGCGGTGGAAGCGGGGGAAACGGTTGCCAGTGCAGGGGAGGGACGCGAGGTAATCAGGATAGAGGGTGGTGAGAGTTCGAAAAAGTGCCGTATGGAAACGATCACGATCTTCGCAGGCGGGGATGGTCCCCGTTACTATGCAATAAACCTCGATCATATTGTGGCCTCGCCACACGGCACTAAGGAGCAAAACATGGAGGCAGAAGGTTGGGACGGCGCACTGAATGGAGGGGTGGGGGTGTACTACTATAGCGAGGTGAGCAACATAGAAGTGGCGGAAGGTATCGCGGGGAAACGGGTTGGAGGGGAACGTGATGGGGGTGGTGAGCTGGCGGAGGGTGAGGTAGTCAAGAGGACGGCGAGAGAGTAATCGGGGACGAAGGCCGATCGCCCGTATCGGTACGTCGGTGAACTGGGGGACGGGTTGGGGAGGAGGGGAATCAGCTCCGTTGCCACGTTGATGGGGTCGGAGTCGTGGCCGTGAGGTCGCCATGTTCTGGTCGGGAAGGCTCCGAATCTTGGTTTGGGTCGTCGTGGACGTGCAAGCTTGCCCCGCTCGCGAACTCTAGTTCCCTCCTCCCTGCCGTGACTTCTTCTCTTTTGCGGGCCGCCTCCGGATCTTCAGCCTCCGTGCCCGTGCGCAGCGCTTCTTCCGGCACAACTTCCCACTCCGATTCCGCAGGTCCTTCTTCGTTCTCCTCTTCTCCTTCGTCTTCTTCTTCTTCTTCTTCGCTCTGCTCCCCCTCACTATGCTCGCTATAGCTTCCTTCTTCGGGGGTTTCGTCCTCTTCCCCGAGTACTTCGTCGCTTTCCTCACTTTCTTCCCGCTCGTCTTCTCCTTCGTCACTCTCGGTGCTTTCTTACTCCTCTTCTTCCTCTCGAATGGCAGCAAGCTGCTCTGCCGCTGGATGCCTGAAGAAGGCAGGATCACAAGCCGTCCGGGGATCCAAATACTGCTGCTGCGACGGCGGGATGCGCTCTGCGGCTCCCTCCACACAAGCCGACCACTGGAGATACGGCGTCAACGTGCGAGAATGCACATGAGGAATCGGGTGCTCGTCGTCTTGCGAGATGATGTCGAGAGGGAGATCGTCCGCCAGCTGCGCTACCGGGATCGCGAGCTCTTGCGCGATGAGTTCCTGATGTCCGGGCCGTACTGTACCGAACAGGAACGCGAGGAGTTCTCCCTCCACGTTGGTTCGCCAAGCCTGGATGAACAGCAACTCCAGACGCTCTATGCACGGCGAGCGTGCCTCGTCCTCGGCCCACGTCAGTCGTACCTCGACCAAGCACAGTGAAAGCTCAACGAAGTCTTCGCCCCACAGTTCCCAGTGTGGGGGATGAATGTCGGGGACAGCAAGGCTCGTTAGACAGTAGGAAAGGCGAGGATGGATATCGGACTGCCAGAAGGTGGGGAAGGTGGAGGGGAGATAAAAAACGGAGATCGGAGAGAGACTCATTGGGGGCGAGGGAAGGGAACAACAACAGGGAGAACCGCCGGCGGATCACGCTGGTACATCCGAAGGCCGTCGTATTCGATCGCTCATGTCGGCGCGACCGTTTCCCCGGGGCGAGCCAGAAGTTGGGTCCACTCGGCAACCAGATCGTTTGCCCACGCACGCAGCGATGTCCTCACCACCGAATGTCGTAAAGGGAGGAGCGTGGAGAGATCGCCACGGAAGTTGACGACGACCGATATGTGGCTGACCCCAGGCACCTCTCGCTGATGAACCGCTACTGCCTCGGCCAGTACCACTGCGTTGGGCCGGCCCTCGATTCTGAACACCGCCGCTGCATACACGCCTTCCGTGCAGAAAAAGTGCGCAAGCCGCCGAAGATCTGGACTGAGATGGGGATGATAGACTTGTCGGATTATCAATCGATCACGGGGTGCAAGCGATGCTTCGCTGAGGGCTCTTTCCTCCAGAAAACTCATGGCGATGGCGATGGAGACGGAGAGACAGAGAGGGAGCAAGAGGAAGAGGGGGATGGCGGAGAGTCAGAGCCGTCGTCTTCAGTTTTCTCAGAAGGAGAGATCGAGGGAGAAGGAGACGGAGCAGAGGGGAGAAGGCGAAGATAGGACACGTGGCGTGTGATCAGGCGGGCCGATCGGCTGCCAGAGGCTTCCGGGGCGAGACGCACAGTGTCCACGCCGTTGGGGCCGAACTCGATCACGCGATATCGCCCGAAGAATCGTGGTGCTAGCTTACCCTGGCGAGCACATTTCCTCACCTGCACCACGTCCCCCAATTTGTATTGGGGCCGTGGACCTGCATTCCCATTCCGGGCCTCGTAACTTCGGAAATGCCGGTCTTGGGCTAGTTCGGTCTTTTTTTGTCTTTTTCGGGCCAGCCTAGGCAGTGACCGTTCCATTAGCTCTAGGTGCCGTTTGGCCTTGTCCCGAGCCGTAGCCCTGGTGGGCCGTCGGTTCAACCTAGACTCATCCGGGAGGCTTGGTATCGAAACGAAAACGACACTATTGGTCCTTAATTGGAAGGGGCTCAGCCCCGTCGATTCGTGGGGCGTCCCACGATGGACCGCCAGGATGTGATCGACGATATCGGGTCAGGGTCTCGGATCCCGTGCCGCGATGTTTCGTCGCAACGCTGTCTTTATCATCCGGTTAGCGTTTTCGACCAGCCCATTGGATTGGGACATATGGGGTGCGGTGTTCCGTATGGCGACGCCATGTATGACCAGGTTCTTTAACACTTCTCCCCTGAATTCCGCTCTGTTATCGGTCAGGATCTCTTCCGTATCCTGATGCATCCCGAGGAAACGGTTGACATATCGCGCGATTTCCGTGGCTTGCCGCTTGCGACAAGGATACGCTTCGATCCATTTCGAAAAATGGTCGATAAATACCAATAGGACTGAATATTCGCAATTATTAGGGCGAGGGGGCACCACTATGTCGGTAGTGTCCATGCTCACTCTTTGAAATGGCCGTTCAACAACCGTGGGCACTATCGATCTTGGTGGCTGAATCGGCGCCTTGTCAGCCGCGCAGACTTGATAGTTGGCGACAACGTATTTCACGTCGTCGCGGATATTGGACCAATACCACTCATTTTTATCGATAGCGGACTCCGTGATTCGTATGGCAAAATGGGCTGCAATTTCCTCGTGGGCTGTCTTAACCTAGTCGTACCGCATGAAAGGATGCTGCACTACCATCCAAATCCCACTGCCGTCCGTTTTCCGTTTTTCTAATCTACCCTCTATCCATCGATAATCTCGAGCCCTTTCGTTGGCCCTCCTCCGATCTTCCTTGGCGAAATCCTGGAGGGGGTTACCTACTAGGGTGGAAATTAAGACGATACCCGTCCATACTTCGACCCTTCTATACTTCCGGTTTTTTTCCAATCCTTTTGACGTGGCATCCAAAAAGCGAGCCTCGGTCGGAATCTTGTCGGTCCGGCACAAGGGGCACAACCAGGGTTTACTATCATTTCTGTATTGGATGCACGAGCCATGGGCTCGTGCAACACACTGTCGGTAATCTATCCAATCCGCATACCCTTCCCCGTTAGGACGCATGGAGGCCGAATAGACGCGGGAGATGGCTTCGCAAAAACAACAAAATTTGTCAGGCAGGGAGAGGAGAGACGAGGAGGAAGGGGGAGAAAGAGGGGTAGTGGGGTTACCTCCATCACCCATCGCCACCGCTTTTCTTTTTGCCACGTGAAAGAACTGCCACCTGTCCGTACTTAGGTTCGTTGGTCAAATCCGGCTCCTTCCACGGTGTAATTTCCTCGCCCTTTGGTACCTTGGCAGGTCGATGCAGACGTGTCAGCCCGTCCGCGTTGCCGTGTCACTCTGTCTTTCGATGGACGATATCGAAGTCGTATTCTTGTAGTCGCACCGCCCAACGGCCAATCATGTCCGTGTAGTTGGTGAGCTTCTTCAAAGCTAGCAGAGGCTCGTGATCCGTCAAGAGGCGAAACTTCTGTCCGTAGAGATATGGATGGAAGTGCTGGATTCCCTAGACCACTGCATAGCATTCGCCTTGAGGTGCGGAGTCGTTCCTTCGTTCGTCCGGCACGGTTCGTGACGCATACTCGATGACGTGTTCACGACCATCGTTCCCCTTCTGTGCTAAAATAGTTGAAATAGCTTCCGGTTGCCAGTCCGTGATAAGGATGAACTGCTTCAAGGGGTCCGGCCGAATCCAAATAGGGGCCGTCGCCAGAGCGTCTTTGAGGGTTGCAAAGGCCTGCTGGCACCCCGCATCCCAACTGAGAGGCTGGTCCTTCCGTAACAGATTCGTTAGCGGTCGTGCAATAGCGGCAAAGTCCTTGATGAAGCGCCGATAGTACGACGCCAGCCCCAAGAAGGCTCGAACCTGCGTTAGTGACGTGGGAACCGGGGCTTCCTTTACCGCCGCAACTTTTCTCGAGTCTGGCCGCAGTCCTCCACGTGTCACGACATAGCCCAAGAACGAAATTTTTGAGAGGAAAAATTCGCTCTTCTCAAGCGCAATTTTGAACCCAGCGTCTCTCAACGCACCCAATGTCCATTCGATGTGTTGCGCGTGCCCGTGATAGGTTTCCGAATAGACCAGGATATCGTCCATATACACGATTACACAGAAGTTAATCATTCCTTGCGTGAGCCGTGTCTTGTTGACGAAGTTCTCGAATGTCATGTTCATCGCTCGCTGAAATGTGGCAGGCGCATTGCAAATCCCCATCGGATTCCGAACCCACTGCCACGTGCCCTCAAACAACACAAAGGCCGTTTTGGGCCGATCTTCTTCCCTTACTAGAATATGATGGAAACCATGCCGAATATCAAACTTGCTGAAATAATTAGCGCATCCAATCGCATCTAACAGATCATCAATCCGGGGGAGGGGATACACATCTTTGATCGTGATTTCATTCAACTTGCGATAATCAATGCAAATGCGAATCGCCCCGTTTTTCTTCGGTACTAATACTATGGGAAAGGACCAAGGTCCGGTAGCGGGTTCAATCCAACCACTGACTTCGAACTCCCGAATTCGTTCGAGAGCCTTTTTGCGTTCAATCAAGGAATAGCGATAAGGTTTGCAATGAATTGGGGAGTGATTTCCTGTCTGAATTTCATGTTGGATTACTAACGAGAACCCAATGTCAGTGTCTGACACACTAATCGCTTCCTGATATTCCGTTAGGATATCCGCAATTACCCGGTGGATTTCATCTGGCACATATTGCGGGACGTGTAGTTCAAAGAGGTGGTCCCAGATCCGAACGTCAATCTGTTTCGTGTTCACTTGTTTTGCCAAATCGGGTGGAGGCGCCGAGATGAATGAATGATCCGATCGCCAGGAGAACACCGTGGCCATCATCTGAGCATCTTCTTCTCGGATTGCCATGTGTCTTTTCGGGGTAATCCCATCACAAACATCCTGCCATGTTGCGAACTTTATCCCCAGTCCGTCTGTTTCTGCTTCAAAATGCCCAAGGGGTTCCAGAGAGCTTGCTTCCGCCCCCAAGCGTAACAATCTCACTTTTTTGGCCGAGGTTAGCAAGGACTTGGGTATATCCGTAATGTCACAGTAATGTCTCTTGTCGCTGTACCGGGCGAGGAGAGGGGTGATTCCTTCGTACAGAGTTTGAGGGGGTTCCAAAGAATTGACCATCCTCGAAATCTGCACGAGGGGCTCACCCAAGATCATCGCCTTGGTCCTTTGAATTTTTCGGCTGGTCAGTTGCATCGTTCTCGCTATCGTTTTGGGCGGCAGGTAGTAAACGCGTTGTCGTACCAATTTCAGGATCTCCGGATCATCTTCGTCACTGCTTTCCGCCTCTTCTGTTGACGACTCTCCTTCTACGGATTTCTCCCAGGAGATCATGCGGAGAGTCTCTGCCATCATTGGCGAAACCCGGGGAACCGTGTCAATGGTAGTGCGAAGGGTCAATCGCATGGGCACAGCATAGGGTATTCCTCATGTATTTCGGAGGACGATCGATCATCGTTCAAAGTCCAGATTTGCTCGTAACGCCACAAGAGCGGGAAGTCCGAAGAGGACGTCGTACGTACTGACATCTAATACTACGACATCCCCAAGCGCGTGTACTTTTCCTAATCGAAAGGCGACGTTGGTCATTCTCCCCACAGTTTAAATCTTCTCCTCATCTGCCGAAACGAGCTGATCTTTCTCGGTGAGCATGATTAGATCGTTTTTCCTGCCTGCCCTTTCGACCACTCTCAGTGAAATAGCCAACACAACTGCTCCCGAATCTATAACTGCGTTGTAAGGAATTCCCCAAATTTCTATATCGCATTTTGCAGATTTCCATGGGATTGGTTTAATCCGTAGGAAATGATCGTCTTTCTGAATTAAACCCACGCGTACCGGATCCAGAATGCTTGTTGGGCTCTCTTCTGACGCGGGGCCTTTGGCTTTTGCATTCGGTGTTCGGGCGAGGACGAACCGCTTTCGGTTTGCCTTGCAATGCTGTAACATTCGCTCATTGGCTTGCTCGAAGATCGAGAGTAGATAACCAATCCAAAGGGGGACCCGATGGTCCAAAGCTCGGATGATGTTTAATACATCGATCTCCCCTGTGACGAAGGTGGGTCCTCCCGACTCCATTTCTCCTAGGGACGGTCGCCACTCCACCACCTCTTTCGATTCTGGCGCTGGTCTGATTGTTCCGATCATTCCTAGCCCAGGATATCCCAGTGACACATACTGATCTAGCGGAATTAGCTCGGCGGCCTCTTCCGTGGTGGCCAAGGCACTTCCCCCACCCTCTACTTCTTCCATCAAGGCTCTGACTCGTCCCGGTCCGTTGGCGATGGGGGCCGCAGCCATAGGTGCGACTCCGATCCGCTGTTGTGGGGGTCGGTGGGGGCAATCACGGGCTAGATGTCCGGGCTAATGACAAGCGTAGCAAACATTCAGATTGTTCGCAGCTCCTCCGAGAGCAAGGGCAGGGGCTAATCCTTGTTGCATCGGAGGGGCACGCACCGCAATAGGTCGCATGTTCCTCATCATGGCTTCCAGCCGAGCATTGTGCTCTCGCTGCTCCTTTTTGCTTTCTTGGATCAAACTAATCAAAGTTTTGGTTAGTTCGAAAATGGCCGCCGATTCGTTTGATCGTACAGGCGCCTCAACCGGTGGCGGGGGTAATGCCCTGACGGGCGGGGGCATCATAGGAGCAGAGATGCTCGGAATCTCACTTAGGATTACTCGTTTGGGGGCTATGTGTTCCATATAGGTGACAGGTCCTGATACGAATCCCATGTTTTCAAATTTGTTTTGTAAAGCAGCCAGCTCCGCTCTTGCTCGAGCGAGCTCGGTCGAATCTCCGTCTCTAGGGTAATCTTCTCCTTCCAGGAAGTTCGCCGCGAATTTCCGTTCCATTTCTCCTGCAGCAGCCATAATTTGTTGTAACATATGGGTGATGGGGGAAAACTACTTTCGCAACTTAGCCCTTATTGTTCGACTGCGGAATCCGTCAATTAACAGATCTCTCCCTACTTGCTCACCTCGCTCAGTTTTTACGAACATTCGGTAGAACCGGTTTCGATATTCTGCAACGGATTCGAGCGGTTTTTGCACTCGATCCTTGATAATGTACAGCGCTTGCTCAGGGTGGACATAATCGAGTCGGTTCATAAAGTCTCGTTCGAAGGTCGGGAGATCCACCCATACATAGGTACTAAACCAATGATGGGCGTACCCCCCCAATCGAGCCAGAATGTTGATATGTGCCTCGTGATCATCGTATTGTTGTGCTCTAAGTGTGGCCAGCCATGCTCCTGCGAGATGGTGCGCCGGATCAAATAGATAGAGGTCTGGTGGTGACATGGCAGCTCGTGCACGTGGGGCAGGTTGATTAGGTGGATTAACATTTTGTTGCGGAACTAGATTTTGCACGTTGGCAGCCATATTGGCTGCTCGTGGGTTAGCCGATCTGCTTCTGGTGACAATAGGGTCGCGTCTATGCGCGTTCCGAGGGCGAGGTCGCCCACGGTTAGCCAGGTCGCTTAATTAACGTGCTATCAATCCTAAGACCCTAGCCACGTGTCGGGCTCCGATACCAACCTCACGCCCAACGCGACTTCCTGATCGGAGTGGGATGTGGGCCGGGAAGTGCGAAAAGGGGTGTGCCAAGGATTTTTGGGAAAGTGGGGGAGTCTTAAGGATATGAATGCAATTGGGCGAAAAAGGGGCGAGTGCGCAGAGGACTCAAGGCCCGATGGGGCCGGGGCACTGTGGGCGACGGTTTACGGGGAAATCCCTCCGCGGTGGAGGCGGTCCCGTAAAGTTAGGCCGTCAGGGGCCGCCACGCGGCGCAGGTCGTCGCGTGCCTGGGTTGGGCCTTCGAAATTCCGGAGTTCTCTGTTCGCTGCTACGTCGGCAGTTCACGCAAAACGTATTGGGCCAATAGGGGGCTATGGCCGGCCACGGAACAACGCTGAGTTGATGATACGGGAGAAGGAGGCGGAAAGGAGGGAAACTGGTGGTGATCTCGACAAATCCTGGGTGGGTGAAGTAGTAGGTNTGAGTTGATGATACGGGAGAAGGAGGCGGAAAGGAGGGAAACTGGTGGTGATCTCGACAAATCCTGGGTGGGTGAAGTAGTAGGTGTGGTCGGGGGAAGGGAAATCGGAACACCGAGGGCCGCTAGTGGTGGCACAGTGGAATTCCCTCGGGCATAGCCGATTCTCCGTGTGACAAGGGTATCGGGTCCTTATGAGCTCGTTTATTATGGGGGTGAAATAGTCCGGGTCATAGGACGAGTCTGAGTTCCAAGATCGCGTCATGGTATCATCGTCGATAGGATAGCTTGGGTCGGGATATCGTCACCGCGCACGAACACGTGCAGGACGACAGACTCAGTGACGCCTCAGCGTGTTTGTACGGGATGACGGTTTCGCCTCAAATCTTTTTGGGTGGGCGAATCGACGTTCGGAAATGCGTGTAAGGGCGCGACTCGGATCGTGTTTACACGTGTTCTCGTGCGGCGTTCACGAAGCCAGCTCTCTGATCGTTTAATTGCTTCGGATTATGCAAGATGCGACCACATCACAACCGTCATCATGAGATAAGCAAAGACGAGAACAAAATTGCTACCAGGGCCAGATTCCTATCCCATCTACAGCTGCATCAGGCGTGGGCAAAGATTCGACACAAACAAAAAGCCAGGACAGGGATTCTCAACAAAAAGAAATACAAACAGGCATAGCGTCCACGCGTCCACACATTCATACATCCATACGTTCGATATTCATACGCATAATGCAATCGGGACGAACATAGCAAAGACAAGTGTGAGCAAAAACCCAAGCCCAGAATTCAGAAAGCCGAAAACAGAAATAAGAACGGGCAAACCGCCCGGAGCCGTAATCAAAATGTATGTACATAGGTGAAGAGGGGGAAGAGACAAAGAAACCGCAATTCCACGTCCATCAACCTCAACTCTCTCTTCCTCTCTTTCTCTCTCTCCGATGCGGACAGTCCCTCGTCACGCACCAACCCAGGAAGTTATCACCCCGCTTAGTCCTCCCGCACCCGTCGGATTCGGCCGTGCCCACAGTCCGTCGTGGCCCACGTCAATCCAGCGCGTTCGGCACCAGCCCGTCGGGTCGCCCAACTCCTACTCTACTCACCTCTTACTTCGCTCGTGTGCCGACCCTTCCTGATCGCGCAAACCCGAGCTTCCAA